CAAGAAAAAAATAGCGATGGGTGGCCGCTTGTGCTGTGTTTTGTATAGAAGACAGTGGTGCTGAATTGGACCGTAGATTTCGCTATACAGCACGAACCTGTGTCAAGCGACACGAAGAATATCAAAAATACACGAAGCCATAATGAGTATTATTGCACTTTTCTGTTTCGACTTGTTTAGCTAGAGACTTGGCCAAGCGATTTTCCAGTAAGCTCGTAGTAAATACCATAATTTAATACAGATTTTTCAACTTAATGCATGAAAAAAATGAACGTTTTAGATTATAAGATTGTTCCATAAATGAATACCTCTTAATATCTGAGATGTTACACAATAATTAGGTAAAACAATTTGGAAAATATCAAACTAAATCAGGCAATTGACGTCACAATGGCAAGGGAGTTCATTGCGGCAAACAGGCAGTAGGGAAATTCGGTATTTGCATGAACTGCCCCCTTTCTGTGCTTGTTGTTTTCTGCATAGTTTTCCTCCGCCAGTCAATGTTACGTTTCAGCGCGTACATTCAAACTCTGTTCGCTTTATGACATTAAATCTATAGCTATTGAAACTAAAATGAGTGCCCGGTTCCAATGGTGAATATGTTTTTTCAAGTGGGTTCATCACGATTCCGGCATATATAACCAGGGCGACGGTTGGTATCAGTGGGAGAGAATCCTTTACGCAGGTGTGACCGTCGATTTCAACCGACTGGGTCAATCCAGAGACGGCGCGTTCTACTTCTTTGCTTACTCACTGCTGTTCTGCTGTCATTTGTGGTAATGCCAAAACAAATTCTGTTGTCTAGCAGTTCATAGTGTCTTACATAAAAAGGCCCGTTTTGCGCGGTTCAAAAGCGTACAGGCATATTTAGCGCGTATACAATTCAGTTTTATTGAAGTTTTTCAGTATCTCCGAAAGCTGTGCAGAATCAAACGAGCTAAAGCGCGGCATCGTTATGTTCGGCTTGGGAACCGTCAGATATTCGGATCTTTGATCTTTACTCTTCGTAGCGTAAAAGAATACCGTTTCACTATATATACAATACATATGTAGTAGTAATATATTACGTGGCTATGAATCTTTGCGAAAAGAATGCGAAACAAATAGGGCAAATACAAATAGTTAAACCAGAATTTTCATTCCGTCCGAATTAATTAAAACGTTTGAACAGCCGAATAATCAGTGACGCATTGAAACCCTCTAATATAGCATTATCGAATTTTTCCAACGCCAATTTTAAACTTTTTAGCGTGCTTCCTTTTATAAAACGCGACAGCGGATTTTATGGTCTTTGTCCGCTATATAGGCCAATGTTATGTACATTCGAGTGTAGAGCCTATTTTTTTATCTATCACTTTATAACACGATGACGATCAGACGCTTGTTCACATAAAACACGATGTCCTCGAGAGTTCCACGAACCTATATATTCAGGACTATTACATCCTTATCCAGTACGGCTCGGAGTCATCATCAGCAACGTGCGTATACTACTTTTTTTATATGCAACGTTGCACAATCATAAACGTCACGCAACGTTTAAGTTAATTGGCTTCAAATATATTAATCGCCACACACACATATCCGGTGTTGATTATCGTGTGGTGGCTGTGTGTCTTTCTTATTATCTGAACTGGACTCCTGGTTTTGTCTTGACCTGATTCGATACCCGAGAAATCCATAGCGGCCCTAGAACTTCAGCTGCTAAAGCATTATCCTAATTCCAGTTACTGCTAGCGTCAACATGAGCTCAAAATGCAATGATGCCAGTAAGTGAATCAACTGAATTCGCTCTATAGTGATATAACCAGGTATAGTGATACGGCCAGCTGTCCTGCTGGCCGTATCACTATACCTTACAACCACTTGCTGTCCCCGTATAATAGCAATAGTTGGTCAGTGGAAAAAGCTTAGCTTACACGTTGCTGCGACTGGTACTGCTTGTACCTGTACAGGCTGAAGCCTGCCGCTCTCTATGTTCGCTTCGTTTTGTCTGTGTGCGTGTGTGTATATCTGTATCTTTATAGGGCCTTCAAAAAAAAGCAAGCAATTTCTTTTGTTCTCTAATACAACGTCTATAAAAAAAAAAAAAAAAAAAAAAAGCGAATTAAAGGAGCACATTTGTCTTCCTTCCATGCAAATTAGCGGTTAAGCCAAAAAAGCGCGGAAGAAGGGCCTAAAACTGCAAGCCGGAAGGGCAACTGGGGAGGATTGCCAGATGGTCATTGAGGTACTTCTCCTACGACATATAAGAATAGCGCCGTTGACCGAAAGGTGATGGTATATGAAGATATAGAGCAGGAAGTACAACGGGTTTCTTTCCCATACAACAACTAAATACGGTGCTGAGCGGCCAGTAGTAGCCAGTAGTAGCAGCAGTATCTGATACAAGTTAGATTATCATTGTTGCCAACTTTATGGGCAGCAGGGGCAACAGCCTACGTATATACACGTCGAAACATTTAACATAAACTTCGAAAAACTTGATGCTGTAATACTGATTGATGTCTGTCGTCCAATCGCATTTCGCATGAAGCATTATCCATGATATGGGACACAACTGACCGAAGAGTTTTTGACTTTATGAAGTAGTTAGGCGCAGCTTCTGTTCGAATTCTGCATGAAGAGTAAATACTCCAACAACGTTTTCGACTTGGCCTAAAGGATTTGGTCATGGAGAATACTTAAATGGAGATCATTATTATTATTGCTCGAATATATATATATATATATATATATATATATAGTAAGAACTTGGTTTACGAATAAATGGTGAATAGCTATTGAAATTAGAGTTTATAAGAAACTACAGTCATTCAGCAGGTGTCTATAACAGCGTTTCTACATTATTTATTTGAACATTGCGAATGAGTAGTTATATACATTGACACCGTATTTATCCAATAAGATGGTGTGAAGTCTAAGGTGTGGTGGTAGTTGCCTTAAATGGGTTGTGGGCTTTGTTGTTGAGAGGAACAAATATTTCAACTAAGCGTTTTTCGTCGTGGTTTTTAAAATTGTTATACCATATTTTGCTTTTACATATGTATCTTCTGTCGAAGTCTTGAACCAGCAGTTCCTGAATCCTTCGACTAGAAACTTAGCCATCGAAACGACTATATCCCTGTTGCGTAATACTCATCCTATCAAATCAGACACAACTTTCGCATAAACAAGTATCACCAACGGACTCCACGGGAGGGCAGTGGCTGTCATCTGGATGGCTTAAACGGGAATAAGACGTTTGCGTTTAAGCGACAACTCGAGCCGTCTGCTTTCATGTGCATATGTATAGTACTGTAAAAGCAAGGCTACACCCACATGCACAGAAAGAGGGGAGCAATAGTGTAGAAAGCGCTTATGGAAGCCAGAAAAGAAAAATGCAGTAAGGGGCCATGACTAGTGTTCGCCGTCTTCTTGCCTTTCTCTACGCAACGTGCGGAGGCCATTGTCGCCGACGAGCGACTTCTTCTAGAGCTGTCCGCCATGAAGTGGCGGATGAGTATCAGAATTCATCCAGTCAGGAGAACTTATTCAACCAACTAGAACACGTATGTACGGTATCTCCTTACTTATTTGGATAAGGACTCGCCACACAAAAAGTCAGCCTGTCTCCCTAATCGGGCTTTGTGTGGCAGTAGCAGGCTTTCTTGGTAACAGTTGTATTATACTAGTTAATGCTACCTGGCCCAAGTACGTACTATTTCCTGCAGAGTCTCGTTCCTTTACTATTAGAAGGCGGCCAGCAGGAACAGAGAGAACAGCCGAAGTTTGGAGCTCGACTCGCAAACTGCACTGAAAGTTGGTTGCTCAGTCCGTTGTTTGCCTCAGTCCCTTCAAAGCCCCTTGAAACCCAGCTCTCACGTTGAGTACCACTACCGTACTCGTAGTACACCGTCTCGTTTACGAGTAACCGGCTTTAGCAGCAACCATTGCTCTACTGTAATAACCCGGACTACTGATTACTATCGGTCAAAGCCCAGAATTGCCCAAGTGAACAAGTCGGTATAGCTGGAGCAGCGAATTAGTGCAAAGAACTAGCAGGACCCAAATCGCAGCCAACGCCTCTACCGCTGTTTTATACTACAACTGAACATTCATTACTATTACGCTAGCACTATGTACTAGTAAATACACCCACGTATATACTATGGCATTTAGATGCCTTATCGATATTTATTCCTTGTCACTATGTTTCCCTCTGTGTGTATATTCTTTCGTAACGGTCAACCTGTGGAGATGTGCATGAACCCCGTTGTAACCAGCATCTTGTGCTGTATTTTCCTACGACAAACGATCTATAGCTATCCCTTGGGAAAGAGGCTCCTTTTCTGAGAAAAGACTGAATTACCCGAAATAGCTTAATTCTTGTTAGCGTTCGGATTGAGCTCGACTTTGATAGAGTTGGTTTTGTTATGGTGACATCGCAATGGTTGGTGATAGCCAAATTACGGGGTGCAAATACGTCTCGTTTTTGTTATCCTGCGTGAAGACTAAGGGATGGACAAAATCTGACGGGAGATAGCTGCTTTACTCTCAGAAGCTGTTGTTGTCTTTTCTCTGTGGAACCATCTCTAAGGGAGACGGGGGTTAGGTATGTACACGTCTGTGAGACAATATATAAGAATTAATACGTGTTTGTTTCTATATCCATTGGTAGATATCTTTATATACATATGAATATCGCGGGTTTGTTATGGTGGTTCAGATAAAGAGACTTAACTAATAAGCTAATAGTTCATATTATCCTCCGACGTCTAATGAAGCGTCTCGCACTTACTCGTTTTCATGGTCGATTTGAGATTTTTGGTATGGCATATACGTTTAGGAGGACATCAAAACGGATATAACGTTGTTTATGAAAAATAGATGTGACTAATTAGTACTCGAAGTCATAGATCCTCGTTTTGAAATATCGTATTTTTGTCACAAATATTTCCTTGTTCTTACTGCCACTAACGTGTTTATGCGTGCTTTTTTCGTTTGCTTGTTAATTTCAGACGTGTGGCCGACTCGGCGAGTTATCGTGCTATGTTTGTCCGGAGCAAAACAACGAGTGCCTGGCTTCGGCTTGCAAAGCCTTCAATGGAAAGTGGTCCAGCTGGATCAACAAATATTAATGCTATTATTTCACGTAGGACAGCATTGCCTGCAATTGCCTACCACGAGAAGAACTACCGTAGCCTACGAAGAAATAGTAGGACAGATTGCATCAGTTACGTATCAAGTGACAACATCGATCAACAGTCCCCTTTTGCGTCCATTGTTGCGTACCTCAACACTGGAGAAGACAAGCAGTTTCGAAACATTCTCGAAAACTCGTTACAAATGCAGCTGCTGCCTTTCAATTCGCAGTGACAGGTTCCAACCGTCGTGCGAGAGTTCGTCTTATTTGTATTCTGTTGCTACTGGCTCAAGTGCATCTTCCAGCAGACTTGTTCCTCCACGCTATTCCGTTCCCGCCATTAGCGAAAGATTGCATCCAGTTTCTTTCCAGCCTTTGAGCTCCAGCCATTATCGTCAGGCTAAGCCGAATAGGGCCACAACGCTCTCGGCTATCGTCGGAGGATCATCGCCATGAACTCGTTGGCACACCACGACGTGCTCGCCTCGGGACTCATCCGCAAAGAGACCGTTCTCGGCGGACTAGTCAACCCGGTGGTAGACGCGACCCACCATTCGCATCATTCACAGCAGTTAAGCAGACTAGGCAGCGTTGTCGGGGGAGTAGGAGCCGCCAGTGTCGGGGGAGGCGTCACTGGAGGTGGCCGACGGGATAGTAATAGCAGCTCGGAGGACTCGGACATAGTCCGCCTATTTCCAAAGTGTAAGAGGTCAGCAGCGGCGGGATCTGCTTCTTCGAATCAACAACATAACAACAGTCACAACCACAGCAGTAGTCAGAACCACTGCAACAATTTGTCGTCTGCTAGCAGCGGCAGCAGTAGTAGAGACAGCAGCAGTGGGATCGGTATTGGCTGCGGCTCGAGTGGAAGCATTGGAACATCGACAGCGCTAACGTCACCCTCGCCATCATCCGGTGGGGGAGGTTTAGGCGATCGTGGTCCGACAGGCATCGGGAGCTCAACAGCCGTTACGTACTCTCAACAGCAAACGCAACAACAACATCATCATCTGCAACAACAACACCACAACTTAAATCAGCAGACGACAAGTTCGACGTCAACAGGGACAGCGATTGGCGGCAACAACCCTAACAGCCTCATCAGTAACAGTAATAATCACGTACCGTCGGTTGGCATTAGCAACGGATTGTCGACAACGACATCATCCGCATCTTCTGCCTCGTCTGCAAATAGTAGCAATAGTTGCAATACTCATAGCAGTAGCATAGACCATATTAGCAACGGACCACAACAGCTGCAGCAAAAACACGGTAAGCGCGTCAGAAAGAAGACGATAAAAATTTTAATTTACGCGGGTACATTTGAATATTAAAATAAAGAAATCAGATTCATAATGTTGTTCACATGGAATTAATTGACGTGAAAAAAATAGCTGAATTAAATATTTGAGCCTTTTCAGCCGAATTCTACTGGTAAAGATGTGCAATGGCGCACGAAAACATGAGGGGAAGTTGTTTTACTTTTAGTTCTGAGGTAGATTGTTGTGAGTTACTTTCTAAGGATCACTCGGATGGAAATAGTGGAAACGACCGTGATGCAATGGCCTTGATGGGTCGATGCGATTTTGCGATAATACTGTCCGCATTGGGTTCAATCAACCTTGTTATCAGTTGTTTGGGCAGATTGGGCAGGTTGTCCTCAACACACTAAGCTACTGTGTACGTATAGGTAACTATGGTGGCCACCTAAAATATACGGGAACCCGTAGGAGAAATTTATTCCAAATAACTGGATGTATGCACCTGCTTGCACGTTGTGGGGTGAATTAATTACAGACAGGTGAAGATGTGATAACAAATTTAGAATTGTTTTAGATTATGCTTGTCGGGCTTGATCACTCTTTTACCTAATAAAGACTTAGAAAAATTTTTTAGAAAGTGACTTTTCATCTAATAGGAACGAATAAATCTATTTTCGATTTAAACTCAACCAGGTGACGCTACCGATTTCGTTAGATCATTTATTCTCTGGACTGATAGTTTCGAAGTCTTAATGTAAACAAATTTTTATGGTCTCATATTTATTAGATTATTCAGTAATTTTTATATCGATATGCTTAGGACCAGGAATTCATATATGAACCTACTCTAGTTGACAGGTGGTCGACAATGAATTCGCAAGGGAAAAAGAACATGCATACCTCTTCTGCTATATTGAGCAACTGCTACAGAACCACATGGACAGCTTAGGCATACTGAAGATATGAAATACCGATATAAAAGTAGCGTAGCACATGCTAAGCGCGTCAGCTCCCTATAGTGTGATAACGTAACAGACTTGTGTTATAATGACAGCTCTGCACGTACCCGCCTTCACTTGATCCCATAGACAGGCACGTTACTTTGTAGTGGCATTATCCCAATGCTCTTGCTGCCGCGACTGCTGGTGCAGTAGGAACTTGAACAGCGCGGCTGGTCAGTCTTTGGGTGAAGGGGCGCATCCTGCACATGCCAGACCTTTCGGAGAATCTTATTAGAGCCCATAGGTGGGCATACTGAAAATGTTCGTTGAGTCAAAAGTAGTTAGCTGCTTAGTAGCGGTGGCAACTGCATCGAGGCTAGACAGGCTGCAGGATGTATAAAAGAAACAAGGTATATGCTACGGGTCATCAGAAGGGTCCGTCGAGCGAGTCGATGAGTCGGTTAAAAAGTAGCCGTTCACTAAGAATAGTGAGGCCGCCCAGGGAGCGGGGGATGTGTGAGCTGTGCGGCGTGCGCGCGATAAAGGCGATGGTTAAGGGCCGGCGGACCGCCGTTGGATCTCTCTCTATGCTGTTGGTCAAGTAAAAATCAACTACTACTGCTGCTGTTGAACTAAGCTGGGCTGCCTCGCCTGCTATTTTACGAAGTTATCGAGCTCTGCCAAACTGCCAGAACCTTGCACCGTTTCACGGGACCGTTGCGCGGATGGGCCCCTACTCTATTTCTTCCACCATTTTCCTGAAGGTCTCTTACATTTTGGCTGGCTCGCCAGCCAGTTCGTAGTGGTGCATACACCGCATGGCAGCATTGCGGAACGCCGTATTTTAGCATGAGATGGGGGGGCGAAACCGGTGGCTGAGACAGCACGCATAGAGCCAAATGCTCTGCCTGTTGGGGTACTACCGTGAAGAAAGGGTGTATTCAAAAGATTAAGGGATTCATCTTTTGTAGACGCCAGCTGCCCCTGTGGCTGCTATGGGGTTGCGGCAGCGACCAATTTGAAGCTATACAAGGACGCAGAAAAAAGTGTGTGAAAGAACAGAAATGAACTAACTGCTTTTGGTCTGGCAGTCTTTCTCCATTTTGCCCTTGTCTATCGTCGTTGACTAACAAAAGAAAATGAAACGACGCAGTTCCCGCTGGTTTTTTGTCCGCTTTCCCGCCAGCCCATAGCGCGCACGCAACGGCCGAAAAACCGTTGCTCAGTTTTCGCTGCTGAAACTGAGTTTAAGGTCGTGTTCGACTTTCATTTTTCTGGTTCCAGTCCGCTCTTCGTGTGACGGCGCTAGGCGTGTGAAGTCATCAGGTGGCGAAGATGATGACAGCGACAGCAATAATGGTGATAACTACTGGTAGATTTCAACCAGCTAAGTTCTAGAAAGTAGCATAGACCTTTTTGTAAAACAATTCATATATATATATATATATATATATATATATATATATATATATATATATATACCGAGCCGTTTCTTTCTGCGAAGTTGAGTAAACGTTAAAAGTGGCTCATGCAGGATTTGGCCGCGTGTCCTGACGGCGTTAGCTTGAAAATTTTCATTGTCTCGCTAAGTACGAGCATAGATAGCCGTCTTAATATACCAGCATAACCGCTGGCTCTGGTGGTGGAAGGTTCGCTGGATTACTTCTGCCGCTGCAATCGTCGAGTAACAAAATCCGACCGAAATCTTTCTGTTTCGATGTGGAGCGCAGTTTTAATACTCGATTTCGTTACGTACTGCCTCTGTCTATTAGTCCAGCGACGAAAACGTCGATACAACCGCTAAGCGATCCATTGCCAAATGGCGAGTGCAACCTGGCCGTATGACAGCTCGTCATCAGCGGCGGTCCTAGTCAGCGTAGTTATGGGAAGAATTCTTTTTTGTTGGTAAAGGCTTTCCGGCAGCTGCGGCATTCGACCCACATTCACTGTTCTTATTTCTCACCAGTCGCCACTAATTGTACTATCGCTGGTGCGGCCATTGAGTCCTTACAATTCATTGCGCATTCTATCGACGCGTCTACTAGAAACGGCGACTAGTGAGCTTCTTTTGGACTCGTAGAGACGAAGAAGATGGAAAGAGGACAAGAAGGGTGGGCGAATGGTATGTTGTAGTAGGGATCACGTACAATTACCATGCACCTCTCATCAAGCTGCAGTTTGCTACTGAGATAGCAACAGTAGTGGGATTGAATGAAGCGTGGCTTGTGAGCGTTGGGTATGTTTGTATTGTATTTGTCACAGTTATGCTGTACAGTAGCTGGTGGTTTAGCGGATGCAGCACCCTCAATAGTGAACTCAAGGGACGGCGGTGGTAGCACCGCTGCGTTCCACGAATTCACTCGAGCACCACACCATGACCATCACCGCCACTGTCGTCATTAACCGCACCGATCCTACTAGTTCTCGTAGCAAAATTTAGCGCTACATAGTGCCAGTATGGCGTGCTAGAACTTTGAGTCGTTTTTACTCTGCGAGTCGTCCACTTTTCGTTAGCTAGCAAGCAGAGAACAGAAAAGACTATTGCCTTTCATGTGTTGGGTCCTTCTTGCTGCTTTTTATGCCTTTTTTTGAGCTCTTCTTTTATTTGCTGCACTTTTCATCTCCCACTTCCAACGCATAGTCCCCTAACAGGCAAGCCCTTAGCGTGCACTTTGGCCTTAGCGTAATCATGTGCCTGTTTTTGTGTGGCTAGCTTGTCGGCCGACTGGGTGTTTCACCAAACGTGAGCCTCTTTTTTTCGTCTCCATTCGACTGCGTGTTCTGATAACGCCCTTTTCCCTCCTTTCGCGCTCATACCTTTTCCCTTAATGTTAGTTCGCCGTTTGCCCTTCCAACACCGCTGCTGAAGTTCGGTCATCTATCGAGGTGGCGGCCCCACTGCCGCTGCTGCCTTCCTCACCGATAATATGATAATGTTGAGCTCCTCAGATCTGATGCCGTCGCCGTAGCGCTCTTGGACGCGAATAGCAGTCTCAGCAGGAGTAACAGGCTCCTCTTTCTTCGGGTCCTTCTTTGATTCTTCCTCGTGCTTCTCCTGCTGTCCAAAGAAGGTACCTTGCCCGTTCCGCGATTGCTGTACCCAATCCAACTGCCCTTACCGCTGCCGTTCGCTTCGAGACGATGGCACCACCAGCAAACCTTACTGTCAACTGCCAGTTGCCGTTATCTTGCTTTCCTGCCAGACTCTCACCCCCTTCCGGGCTATAGAGATTCCTTCGTTGTGTCGGTATGTAGCTAGAGGTTGTGCGAGTTAAGGATTCTTTGCCGGCAGTTGGCCTTACAGCAGGATAGTCTCCTGCTGCCACTACCGGCGTGGTCGGAGAGAAGAAACCTTTCACGTAGCTTAAAGAGGAATAAAAGACTTGCTTTGGGGAGTGGCCGGCAGGCTGATCCTATTGCAGGCACCTTTATACGATACACCTATACGGATCTAGCCGGATCTTCTGGACAATTTTCTTCCAACATATGCCGCTAGCTTCAATTTCGTTTCAATGTATCAAAAAAAACTTTTTGCTGTGGTGGCCCTTGCCATCGGCAGCAGTAGAAGTAGCTGCACAGCCATCTGCTGTGAGGGCAGCACCCAACTGCAAGTTTACGTTGGGTGTGGGTATTTTAATAAAGGGCAGGGAAGCCAAATAAGAAGAAAGTTGTAAAAAAAAGAAGAAATTATTTTTGCTTACTACAATTAGCCTCAACATTATCCCGATTTTACTGAGTAAGCACACAACGGGCTCTTCTAGCTGAATCAGATAAACCAGCCAGCCAGCCAGCCAGCTAAACAAATGCAGCGTCGCTTGTAAACCTCTGCCGTATACGGTATCAGTACATATACTGTAGTCGTCGTATCAGAACAGTTTAATGTTTCTCTTAAACCCTGCCTAACGATTTCCGCGGTTCGTTAGAGGAAATTCGACTTTAATCTATTTATTACTGCTTGGCTGTGTGCTTGTTTCATGTGGAATCAATATGTAGCGTTGTTTAACTATAATTTAAAAAAAAAAAATGGCCTCGTTTGTAGCTGTTCACTTTATGGTTATGCGCCAAAAACGAGGTCTCTTGACCAATGTCACTAAGAATGCAGAAGGTCAAAAGATTCTCTACGCTACAAAACCGCTGCAACAACAGCGAATAGAAACAAGGGCAGACGGCGTCAATATTCCGTCGGATATTCCAAATAGTCGCTGTATTATCGTGATCGTCTTGGCAGCAGGGGATAAAAAAGGGAAGTGGACGAATCGACTTGTCTTACTTTTCGGGGCCCGAAAGCCTTTTCTGCATTTAAGAGTGTATTTATTTAGATTGCATTATATTTCTACATGACGGCTGGCTGAGCTACCGTGGGTGGCCTTCCATGGTCAAGTTTCCATCTGAACAGCGGACGATGTGGGAGTGATAGTGAGAAACTGAATTTTGGATAAAAATGGAGTACTGGATTATGGTACGGACGGACAAGCAGAGGAGCCAGGGCCGATGTGGAAGTTTCGTGAGCGAGCAACTGAGTAAAGCAAGGAAGCTTAAGTGAACTGAAGTGTTTTATGGCAACACGAAGAGGGGAAGACCCTTTGCGCTATTCTGTTTTGTCGACTTCCTCTAGAGTTGGCTACTGCTTGGTTGCTGCTTCTGCCGTTAGTGATGCTACTGCTCTCACTTTTGCTAAGTATCGACCTCTTTTCGTTGACAACTCGGTAGCGGTAGCGGCCCCGCAGAACGGACCGCACACCGACGCGATACTGTAGCCTATCGAACTATCAGCACCATCACCATTACTCCACTGCTGCCTGGACGACTTCAAGCAAGGGTATTTCTGCAGTTGCTACAGCACAGAAAAGAGTTTTTGCAAATTGGACGACTTGCCTTTTACTCGAGAGTCAGAATGCTCTTAAGCCCGTCCGTGTGCGAGTCGCTCGCATCAACGTCAGCGGCAATAGTAAGAGTAGCAGAAGGAGTGGATAAAAGCCACGTGAGCACGATACCGCTACCAGATGCTGTCCTGGAGTCCGTTGAGGGAAAGGCATAGTGCCTTGCTTTAATGCTTGACTGGTTGGCTGGTATGCATGTATATGGCTGGAAGTGGCGAAGTTGATCCTCGTCGCGCTGGCCGTGTGTACGCAGCAGCAGTAACGGCGACGGCGCGTAGAAACAGCGCTTTAAACAACCCCTCAAGTAATAGGGAATCGGGGGCGAGGGAAGCAGGACCTGCAGACAAGCCAAACGGGACACAGGCTGTGTGGCGTGCGGAGTTCTCGACCTACTTGGGAAAGGTTGGTCTGGTAAGCAGATCGGTAACCTACGTACTGGGCTGGATCATGGGCTCGTCGCCTCGATAGCTAAAAGATAAACTTGGTTCGCACTACGCAGCACGTACGCCTCGAGCCCCAACGGCAACGTGACAATGATGTCACGATGCCTGCCTCACAACGACGTTGAACAAGAGCGCGCAATACATCAGACTATTGAGTGAAAAATTACGAGAAGGAGCTTGACATCGACATAGATTTCGAGTTGAACAGAGAACGATGAGCGTGCTAGAAGGCAGAAGCATGTGAGTTTCCATGGGACCCACGCGGGCGTGAGTTTTCAGTGGTTCGGCAAAGAACATGGCGCAAGAACAACGCAGCTGCCCGCCTTGCCGCTCCGAGTGAGTAGGTGCTGTGCAAACAAGTTGGTCCCTCTGGATAGAAGTCCTGCTGATACGCGCAGTTTAGCCCATTCTGTTCAGGCTGGTAATACTTCCGATAGTAACGGTCAGTACTTTAAAGGGGGGTACGAAAGGAGGGGATGATGAGGTTACCAAATAAGCAATAGATGCTCAGCAAGCCTCATAACCATAAACTGAAGCACAAAATTTCACCCGTGCCAACATGCCATGGCACATGCTATTGACCACGGCGTAAATCATACGACTAGCATACGTCGCATAGGGTCCTGCAACAAGCTGTAATGCTCATAGTCCGCCATCGGCCCACGGTCGGAGATGAGGGGCGACAGAGAGTAGCGTCCCTGCTGCTAAGATTAGTAAAAGGGTATGTGGGAAGGTCCCACGATGGAAATGTCATGCAAATGGAATGAATAACAGGGCGATAGTTTGACGAAGCTGCTTTTACTTGTATGCACATACTATGATATATTATAAACAAATAAAAAGATTAAGAGTCGGGAAAATAAACGTACATCTCTTACGCTTGTCTTGCACAGACGGTTTTTTGAAAAGATAATCTATTGCGTTCACGAGTAGTACGAGTGCATGCAATCAGTACGTATTGCAGCTAACTGCTCGAAAGACAGTATAGTAATTGTGAATGTGATGGAAGGAGAAGGACGGCTTATTCTAGCGACGTACATATATCCATTCGAATTCGTCGGTTTGTATAACCTGTTTCTCAGCTTAATTCTGTGAAAAATTTGCATATAAAGAAACAAGTCTATCATGTACTGGGTGCGTTTATTGCTTAATCCAAAATGGCAAATTATAATTGTTCTTTGTCAGCCGACAATCAATTCTTTTAGTACAGATTGCATTGAATATGTATACGAAGCAAAAACCGTAGAAAAAATATATTGCGGCCTTTACATTTTTTAAGGATAGCAAATTTGCAGTCGATTTTGCTTAATGGCCTGATTTAACGGCTACAGACACTGGTATGCAATTTAGGATATTAAGCATTATAAAATCGTTCTTTTACTGAATCTTGTTTGTCGGCTTCCGGTTTGCAAATTGCCCTTTTGACAGGGGGCCTGATCAGCAGTACACAGAAGTTGCGCGGTCGAGGCGGTGCCCGCTCGGACGAAGAGGGCAACAATATACGATTTCGCGAATCGCTTACACTCGGCGGCGGCGGCGGCGGCGGCCTACGCGATCTCAACCAGAATAATCGAGACACGATGGAGAGATCGGTGGCGCGGGAACAGCTCAGCAACCAACCGCAACAGCAGCTAAACCATCATCATCCGCAGAACTTAAATCTCAACATGAATTTGAACTCAATGGCAAATACAGTGGATAGCTCAGGCAGTAGTCATAGTGTAGTTGGGAGTGGCGCTGGTGGCGACAGGACTAATAGTCGAACCCTTGATGGCTTGCACCATCGAAGCTCTCATCCACAAATGACGCATTTTTCTTCGAATGCGTCACACAAGTCACAGAAGGTAAGCACCGTCATTGACGATTATTTAATTCGATTAATTAATAGAGGATAAAATTATTGCTATTGGTTTGCCTATTAGTGGCTGTTATAGTTGCTCGCGCTGATTAGAAGACGTTTTACAAATTATCTTACTGCATGATATGAAGGTCTGATAAACTATATATATATATATATTTTCTTTTTTAAAGCAACACGTCGCTGATCGCAGTTAACTTATTTGTACGTAAAAATAACTGACATAATGGAAACATCGGGTATCGTTGTGTGGGTATTGGTATTTTTCTCGCCGTTTTTTTAGTTAGAATCTTGTTTTCAGTGTATTTCGAAATTCAGTGTGTTTTGCCACATCCCGTATTTTGTCCTTACTTTCCAAGTAACTGATAGCCGTTTACAGTTGTTTTAATGTGACTATAAAACTGAAAGTATTTCTCGTTTGCGCCGCCTCAGTCCTCCAATTTTTCTATGTGGCGGTCTCAAACACAACACGCGATATTATGTGACATAAATTTTCTGCATCTGACGACCGGAGATCACCACTGCTTGAACCAATGTTATAGTTTGCGTCCCGTACTACCGCTAAAAATCGCCGCTTTAAACAGTCGTTACGATTACTTACATCTGTTTCCCAGATAGATACACAGGGATAAATGGTGAAGCTTTCTTCTTCGCAACTGATTTACTTCCACTTCCAACCAGTGGCGAGCAGATCGTTGCCATTGGACCTGTTGACGTGCTAAGATGTCTCGTTCGGATGCGCTACGTCATTTGGTGCCCGGCTTAGCCCTTTCGGGGTTTGTCCATGTTCGTGGCATCCCTTTCGAAAGCGACCGGAGGCCGCGCAAAAATCTACGTGACCCTAGGTCATTTCGAGGCAACATTCCTCCTCTAGTCAGCTTTTCTTTACCAACCGCCTCGGCTATCTCTTTCTCTGAATAAGGAGCAATCTCGCAGCTGACAGCTAATATACGTTTACACGCCTTGGTAGCCATATTAGTGCTGGTTGGGGGTAAATAGCGGGTTATTTGATTCGAAACATTGAGGGCATTTTCCTATATTCTTGCTGCTGCTGCTGTTGTTTAGTACGCCCGTCGACAAGAACTGATCTGCTGTCGACGGCATCTATCTTGCCGACCACTGACTTGATAAGAGTTGCTGAGTTTAGGCTGATTTTATTAGGTAAATTGTGCAGTATCTGTGTCGTTGACTACGCCTAAAGCAACGATCTTTCAACCAAAGAGATTTTTCAATATTCAGCCCTATTTAAAATACATATATACATATTTATACCAATACTCGTACAGCCCAGACTTAGATGTACACAATAATCTGCAGAATTGTCAATTGCACGTATAAAAATATATGTACTTGTTTAATGATTCTCAAATCTATCAGCTCTATTCTACCTAGACGCTTCATAGCTGTGGCATTGCATAGACTGTTTCGAACTATATAAATTCGCCTCCAGCAATACCGATTGAAAGGTACTAGGTGCTATAAAAAATAGAAAAGAACAACTCGTTCATAAGCTGCATCCAAATAAAAACAGATATGATCCGCTGATGAAGAGTTTCGCATATACTGACAATATACGCCCCATGGATTTGTTGTTTATTCAATATAACTGTCATTTGTTCCATTACGAGTTTCCGAAATTCCTTCTAGAATCGTAAATAGGATTTTAATCGTAATCATGGGTGATTCGACGTTGACCCTTTGGGTTTGTTGAGGTCTTGTTCAAATACTCTACACGCAATATCTCTTCAATTCCAGAGTGCTAGGCTGCTCAAAGCCACGTTTTCTTAAAGGATAAAATTATCGGATAGCCAGCGCTAGTCTTTGTGTAATCCAAACTATTTGCAAGATTTTTTCTATCGAAAATTACGATATTACCGCAGCTCATACGAAATCCAACTGTACTTCATCGGTACGAGTTTCGCCTTTGTAACGTTATGACGTTGAACTCATTGGTTCCTGTTTAAAGGGACGTAACCGCAACGAAGGATAGTTTACAATTGCCTTAAAAGTGTTTTTGCAAGGAATCGTCGCCACTTTAAAGGTATACGCGAGGTTTTTGTGAATTATGTGAAATGGGCGTTTTCAAAAAACACACTTTGATTTCTTAATCAATAAATCAGTGCCATTGCATATGTATTTTCGGTCCTTTTTTTTGTACTTTTTTTTAATTGCTTTCTTGTTATTGAATTTTTGCGTTGATCCATGCGAGTTTTCCTTGTCTTCTCGGAAGTATATAGTACCGTGCTAGGGGCTCATTCGGCTTGGAAATATTGTACAATATCTGATTTTCACTCGTACTTCGAAGACAAACTTTGTTGTCCCACTACGAGTCCGTAGCTTCCTTTCAGACAAAACTAATTTTCTCGATCTGGAAGACCGGATACTTTAAGCACCTTCTAAAAGTTTCTTTTGATTTTGATTGAGGGACCTTTGAGGATTACTTGGAAGAGTGGCCTGGTTATGTGTTGTTTTTTGAAAATCTATTTATAATAGCGTTTAGCCTTGACAAATCTGTTCATGCATTTTTGAATCTAAAAAACAACCCATAGTGCTATACATTGCTGGCATAATTTTAGGCCCATACCATTTATTGATGGGATTGTTGCTTCCACATAAACTCAGAGCACGACGGATGATTAAAGCTCCTCATAGAACACCACTTCCGTGAAATTTTGGATGAGGGTTAGCTCATGTTTCCTAATGAGATAAATAAATTTCTTTATTGCTTCTGGAATCCATTGAGCAATTTCAGAATTCGACAGGCGGAAAAGCAGTAAAGGGCATATGAGCAACAAAATGGCATCAGAAAAATTTGACGACGCCTTGTTTAATGAAACCATTTTATTTAAAGCATTTTGATGATAGAAAAAAGCGGGTTACACCAGCAGTTGGCCCAAGTAAACTGGCGTAACCGTTGTCGTTTTCTTAGTCAATTTCCGTGATACGTTCCCGTTTGTTTTTTGTTATCGGCACCTTTTTTTAATGTATCCTGCCTTCAACTGCTTATTCGGATAATGCCCTATTACCATGCACCATTCAATTGCGTTTTTGCCAGTGAGGTTGACAGCCGCCCTATTTATTCCTTAAGGTCCGCATACTGCTACTATGCTGTTCTGTCGTTCGTGCTGTACAGCATTCGTTTAGGCTCCGTCTCTGCCAATGTGTGGGCCGATCATCGACAGAGCACACGCGGTGTCTTGCTATAGAAGAAACGAAGGGAATTAGCTTACGGAGTAGAAGAGGCAACCATCGTTCGGGCCTTGGTCTGAGGAATGGTTCATATATTGTGGGAGGGTTGACTGGTCTTCAGCCCTCAAGCGAGGACCTCATTCTATTCTATACTCTTATCGGGGGAAAGGCACCTCGATGGGTTCCTGTCCTGTCTTGTTCCATCCAACAATTTCAAGCTCGAGTCCATACTCCCCAGGCCAGAAGTAGCTAGCACTGCCTACGATAATAGCTGCTAGCGCAGCGAACTGCCTGGCTTCTATAGGTGAACCTGACAAAGGCCTTACTGCCGCAATTGACTGCTATCTATGGCAGCTCGTCTCCTCTTGCGCTCCTTGTAGTCTATTTGCCCTACCTTGCCCCGCCTTCTTTCCAAAACTTGCTTACTGAAGCCGCCGCCGGCGGACTTTGTCAGTCTGCAAATAGCCGCCTAACCATTGTTGCGCCTGTTCGATTCTCGTTCGTTCCTGCAATAGACACGAGGTAGACATACCCGGTCATGGTTGAGTGTGATGGTGGTGTGGTACACCTATGGTATGTTAATATTAGTAGTAGCGATTGTAGTGGCAGTATAGGGTAGGTATAGCGTGGATCGTGGCTATAGTTATTTCAGATATGGTTGATAGCTGCTGGTAGTTCCTATTACTTGCTCCCGAATCGTACGGTAAGGGTGCGCCTGTGCGTGTGTGTGTGTAGTCGCAAGGGGTGGTTCAGGAGGCGCAGGGTGTCGGTCGTTCAATGATAGGTTTGGGACAATGTAGTTCGCAGCCCAGCGGCCGGCGCCCCGCAAGCCAGTCAGCCTGTTCCGTAGGCGTCTGCTGTAGGTCGTAGATGTCCGTGTACAGACGTGATCAGGATGTGGATGAGCCAAGTGAATTGGGAACTGCTACCATTCGGATGAGATGCGGGAGTGAGAGAAGAGGGGTTCAAGGGACCTAGACTAAGGCTAGTCATGTGTGGGTGTGTATGCACGTGCGGAGAAAGCGAGCGGTAGTAACGATAGCGTCAATATCCATTGCGCGTCCCGCGATGAGTCCACATTGATGGCAAAGTAAAGGAAGGGATAGGGGGCATACGGGCAAAAGGAGAAAAAAATAAAGGAGACAGCGGAAAGAAGAAGACTCCATACGATAGGCCTCTTCCTTCCTCAGCAAAGCCGAGAAGAGCAATCAAGAAAATGCTATAGCTTGCGACACTAGGATAGAAACGGAACGGAGGACGGAGAACAGGAGGCCAAAACCAGCGGCATAGGCAAGGAGGATCAGCACTGGCAGGACTGTTGTCCGCGGTGTGGTATTGAATGCGACGACGTGTTGTCCTTAAACATTATTACCGCTATCGGCTGGTGCCGAGCTTGTCACGGGTCGGTTGTCGCTCTGTGTTCGTCGCCCTTCCCTTTTGCAACGTATAGCAGCTTTCGGTGCTCTTTTGGTCGTCGGTACGCGACGCAGTCCTATCAATGATGGCAGCGATAGCATGTCATCAATAGCGGGGGGAACAGAACGTAGGACACTGTGGCGGCTCTTTAGTAGAAAAACGGATAAAGCAAGAATGCGAGAGGGGAAAAAGGAAGGACGGAAAAGGAGTAATTGAATTAGTTGTCATTACCGCTATTCCGGTATCGTGAGAATTATTACCGCTGATGCTGGCCGCCTAGTTATGGTCACTGTGGAGATACAATTGTTTGACTAGACCAGTATTGTTTAGCGCCATAGTAGTTACTCGCGAATTGTTATGTTAGAATTGTATAAAATGATG